CATGAGATTAGCTGTGAAGATTGCCTATACAGAGAATATTCTTTTTCTTTTATATAGGATCTTTTCAAATAAGAATGTTAAAATAGGGGCTGGAGAGATGGCTCAGTGGTTAAGAGCATTGACTGTTCTTACAGAGGACCTGGGTTTGATTCCCAGTACTCACATGGTGTCTGTAACTCCAGTTCCAGGGGATCTGATGCCTTCTTCTGACCTCTGAGGGCACTTACATTCAGGCAATGCACTCATATACATAAAATAAAAATAATAAATAAAATAATTCTTAAAAAAGGAATGCAAGGCCAACCTTGTCTACATAGCGAGTTCTAGGCCAGCTGGAGCTATAGAGAGACCCTGTCTCAAAAAAAAAAGCTTCAAAGTATATGTGAACTCAAAGTGTAACATTCCTCCTTTCCCAACCTGTAACTTTTTGAAAACATAAGACTATGAACTTTGTTTAGAGTGAAAACCTGTCTTGTGACCTAGTCTAGTAAGGATTCCTTCAGCTTTTATGATCTGTGGTTTCATCAGTTTGTAATCCTGTCCAGAGCACCTCAGAACCACCATATGACTTCAGTTACTATAAGAAGTTCCTTAGCGGGGCAGCAAGATGACTCAGCCAGTAAAGGTGCTTGCCACAAAGCCTGACAACCTAAATTTGATTCCTGGGGACCCCCCCCCTCCCGTGGTAGAAGGAGAGAAACAACTCCCCAGAATTATTCTCTGACATCATATATTCTCTGTGAACACACATACATACACAATCTTGATCAATTAAATAGTCAATCAATCAATAAAAATATATTTTAGAAAAGCCCCTTATAAACTCTTAAAGCAATGTAATCTTCAGAAGCTACCAAAATCTATATGTGGCTATTGTTAAAACACTAAGGATAGGGGCTGGAGAGATGGCTCAGAGGTTAAGAGCACTGACTGCTCTTACAGAGGACCCAGGTTTGATTCCCAGCATCCACATGGCGGCTACGAACCGTCCTTAACTCCAGTTCCAGGGCAATCCGAAGCCCTCTTCTGACCTCCACGGCAACTGCACAACACAGGTGCACTCACATACATGCAGACAATACACTCATACACATAAAATAAAAATAATAAAATATTTAAAAAAAACACTAAGGACAGCTCTCTCTTGGAAGCTCCTACCCATATTTTGGTGTATACTGTTGTTTCCAAAGCCTCTCTCTGTCACTCTCCCTGACATTAATGCCTCTGTTTAAATCATATTAAAACTGTTTCTTTTTTAAAAAGATGACAAAAATTGTGTGTTTTGCCTGCATGTATGTATATGTACCATGTGCATTGCAGTGCCCTTGGAGGCCAGAAGAGGGCATCAGATCCTCTGGAACTGCGTTACAGGTTGTTGTCAGCCATTATGTGGGTGCTGAGAACCAAACCCTGGTTCTCTACAAGAGCAACCAGTGCTCTTAACTACTGAGGTCTCTCTCCAGCCCTTAAAACTGTTCTTAAACTTAAATTGCTACACACACACACACAGCAACAACTTGGTATATCAACTGTAGCTGGTTGAGGAGCTGTTTTCTTGGGATGGTTTCCTTGAAATGGAATTGCTTGCAGAGTGCTTCTATTCCAGATGTTTTGAGATCACTCCTGAGGATGTGTTCCTGGTACGCACATCTACTGTTGATCTATAAGTGCTATGCTGTTCATAACTTGTAAAAATGGGAAGAGATGGACCACTGAGAGAAGGGCTAAGAGAGAAAATGCCTTTGCCAATCAGGGCTTTCATCCCTTGGCTTTTTCTCCTAGAGCCAATCAGTGAGTTTGGGGATAAATATGGTATGATGTTGGAAATACTTACATGCATTGGACATTTCCTAATATGAAATTAGAAGGACTACTAGATTGTGTTGTCAGAGAAACACCATGGCTTTGTTCTTGGACTGTTTGTGTATAGCTGTCTTCCATAGCAGCACAGCCTTTTTACACAGTTGTAGAAATCCAGTGCTTTTTCTTCTGCAGTGATCTTTCTGGAGGCAGAGCCCTGGAAGCAGAGATGGCAGGGATAGAATACATGAATGACGATCCTGGAATGGTGGATGTTCTTTATGCCAAAGTTCACATGAAAGATGGCTCCAACAGGTAGGCTTCGGAATATGTACTCATTTTAATTGAGATGTATCCAAAAGTATCTGTGGAAATTCAGGGCCTTGCTAGACTTTGCTTCAAACTCATAATCCTCCTGCCTCAGCCTTCCAAGAATGAGGATTACTTGTGTGCACCAACATGCCTAGCTCATGGGTCATCAAAAATTAAAATATACTAATATCTCCAAAAAAGAATTTGTTCTTCTTTGAAAAAATTTCAGACTTTTAGCTTGGAAAGTCTATCTGGACAGTGGGTTTTGATAGTAACCATTAATGTTTTCGTGGGACTTGGCGCTTCCTTTGTATTTTTCACATAACCAGAGGCAGGAAGGTTGGCCTTGTTGGACGGGATTTCAAAAGTGAGGCAATGGTGGTGTGGTGAAGACCAGGGCAGTATGGGAATAGGCATCTTCCTGTCATAGAATTATTAAGATTAATCTACTAACATCATGAAAACATCAAAAAAATAATTACCATTTCTATTTTTTATCATTAGCATACCTCTTTTCCTCTTAGAAATTCTCAGTCTGCAATCCAGATATTTCTGAGGTCACCCTGTGCATCCAGAGCTATTTCCAGTGTTAACACCATTTATTAGGCAACTCAAGATCTTTGCTGTGTGGAGACAGTGCCCTCTTAAATTGAAAGTTTGGTTCTGGGTGGTCTTTTCATTTAGGGCAGGAGAAAATAGGGCTCACCCTGAATCAGAAATTCTTTAGAGAAGATCTAGGAAGACCCTCAGATTTATTTCCTTTCCTTTTGTGTGTTTGTTTATATAGACATGACTGGCCTAGAATTCACTCTGTAAACCAGGTTGGCCTTGAACTTGCATTGATACTCCTGTTTCTCCCAAGTGTTAGAATTACAGGTATATGCCCAGCCTTCCTGTAGGATTTCTCTTTATCTAGCTGTATGTGTAGCTATCTATGTATCTCTCTATGTATGTATGTATGTATGTATGTATGTATGTATGTATGTATGTATCCATCCATCCATCCATCCATCCATCTATCTATCTATCTATCTATCTATCATCTATCTGTCTATCTAATTATCAATCCAATCCAATCCAATCCAGTCCAATCCATTCCAATTCCAATTCCAATTCCAATTCCAAACCCCCAAACCCCCAAACCTCCAAACCCAAATCCAGCTTATGGGCACACATCCCACAGTGCAGTGTGTGGAGGCCAGAGGACAACTTTCAGAAATCAGTTCTCTCAGTTTTGGTGATTGAACTCAGGCCATCAGGGCTGGCATCAAGTGCCTTAACCCACTGAGACATCTTACTGGCCCTCTATAGGATCTCTTATTAGCTTTCTCTTATCTGAATTTGAATCGATAATCTCAAAGGTTTCATCTTAATTTAATTGGCAGTGAATTTTGAGGGGAAGAGAAGGAAAATGGTATATGCTGGTATAGAACTTGTTTTTTGGTGTTCTATGCCAGAGTTTTCTTTATCCTTGGCATATGCCTAAAGGACATACTAATGACCCAACATTAAAACCCAGGGGCATATTGCTACTTAACATCAATTCATATATTAGAACATCTCCAAACATTGCTACCAGGCTGGAACGTGATAGCTGGTATGTCTTAAGTCATAGTTATCTAAAGGCCTTCACATTATTGCACATTGCCCAAGAATAGAATAGGTTGTTTTTCAACACTGAATCAGTTTAGATATAAGATAGCAGTTCCCAAGCCATTTGTATCATAAGCTCTCTCTTCAGATTCTTTTTTTTTTTTTTGAAAAAGGGTCTCCCTGTAGCTCAGCTGGCTTGGAACTTGCTATGTAGACCAGGCTGGCCTCCATCTCACAGAGACCTACCTGCCCCTGCCTCCTGAGTGCTGGGATTAAAGGTATGCACCACCATCCCTCAGTATGAAATGTCAAAGAACTTTTGTTTTTATGGGTTGTATCTGTCAATATTTACCTTATTGAAACTAAAACTGAGAAGTTTAATTCCTTTAAAGATAATAATAGGGGACTGGAGAGACGGCTCGGAAGTTAAGAACATTGGCTGTTCTTGCAGAGGACCTAGGTTTGATTCCCAGCACCCACATGGCAGCTAACAACTGTCCATAATTCCAGTTCCAGGGGAATTTGACGCCTCCTCTGACATCCGCAGGCGTTGTACAACATAGGTGTGCACTTAAATACATTCATGGTGGCACACACCTTGAATCCCAGCACTCAGGAGGCAGAGGCAGGTAGAGTCTGAGGCTAGCCTCGTCTTCATAGTGAGTTCCAGACTAGCCATGGCTGCATAATGAGACTCTGTCTCAAAATAATAATAATAATAATAATAGGGATTGGGGGAGCTGGAGAGATAGCCCAGTGGTTTAGAGCATTGGCTACTCTTGCAGAAGACCCAGGTTCCATTCCCAGCACCCACATGGTTGTTAACCACTGTTTGTAACTCCAGGAGATCCAATACTCTCCTCTGGCCTCTGTGGGCATTGCATTCCATACACGTGGTGCACTTATTTGCATGTAGGCATACACATAATAAAAATAAATAAGTTCAAATAATAATAATAATAATAATAATAATAATAATAATAATAATTGGGACTAGGGAGATAGCTCAGTGGGTGAAGTGCTTGTTGCACAAACATGAGGACCTGAGTTTGATCCCAGCACCTAGGTGAAATCCTGAGTGTGGTGGTGTGTGCCTGTAATCCCAGTGCTGGGAGGCAGAAAGGGGAGGATCCCTGGAGCACACTAGCTAGCCATTCTGATCTAAATGGTGGGCTCCAATGAGAGATCCTATCTCACAAACAGGTGGACAGCATTCCTGAGGGTAATGCCTTAGGTTGTCCTCTAACCTCTATACACATACACACATGCATGCATACACATGGGGTCCCACATACATATGAACATGTACACATGCAAAAAGTAATTAAAATCATTTCATGTTTATATAAATAACATTTTCTTAAAAAGTAGCTCTATTATTCAAATAAAAAATACAGTGAGAAGCTAGGCCTGATTTTTATATGCATGCAGTCTGTTTTAATATATCATTTTATTGACGTATGTAAAAACCCAGCTGTAGACAGATATGCTGGCACATGTCTGTAATCCAGAACTTCTGAGATAGAGACAGGGAGTTCAAGGCTAGCCTCAGTGAAAGTTTGAGGCCAGCCTGGGTTACATGAGAGGCTGTCTCTGAACAAACAAAACAAAACAAGAAAACCTAGCCTTACATAGATATGTGGTTGTAAAAATGAAGAATTTGTCAATGACCTTTTTCAGATAATTGTAGATATTTCATGCCACTCTAAAATTTGATAAATTGATAGGTTTGTTTTTTTTTGGTAAGATTTATTTTTATATTCTGTGCATGAGTAGTTGACCTGTATGTAATGTGAACCACATGTCGACAGTGCCTGCAGAGGCAAGAAGAGGCTGTTAAATCCCTTGGAATAGAGTTGCAGGAGGTTTTGAGCCTGCTACATGGGTGCTGGGAACTGAACTTGGGTCCTCCACAGGAGCAGAAAGTGGGGTGTTTTTTGTTTATTTTTTATTTTTTATTTTTTTTTGAGACAGGGTATCCCTGTAGACCCAGCTGGCCTGGATTCATGGATTTGCTATGGAGACCACGGTGGCTTTGAACTCACAGAGATCCACCTGCCTCTGCCGCCCAGTGCTGGGATTAAAGGCATGCGCCACCACGCCCAGCAAGAGCAGAAAGTGTTTTTTAACCATGGAGCCATCTTTCTAGCCCCAGTTTCATTTTTTAAGATTTTTTTTTATATGTGTATGTATGTGTATCTGAATATATATATGCCACATGTGTACACGTGCCCACAATGGCCACAAAAGGCCATTGCATCCCCCAGAGCTGAAGTTACAGATGGTTGTGAGCTGCCCAGTATGGGTGATGGGAACTGAAATTGGGTCCTGTGAAAGAGCAACAAGGACTCTTTACCATTGAATGCTCTCTCCAGCCTCAAGTTGGTAGTTTCTTTTTTCTTTTTTAATTTAAAATTGTTTATTTTTATGTGTATGAGTGTTTTGCCTACATATTAGTAAATGCACCCAATGTTGTACAGTGTTCATGGAGGCCTGAAGAGGGCGTCAGATCCCTTGGAACTGGAGTTACAGATGGTTGTTGGCCACCATGTGGGTGCTGGGAACCAAATCCAGGTCTTTTGGTGTTGGACCCCCAGACTGGGGTACCCAACGTTCACGGGAGGTCGCACCCCAATAACTCAGTCCTCAAATCAGGAGATGCAACAAGCATGAGGATTTATTGGCGTTTTGCAAAACGGACTCCCACCTCATTCGGAGGACAGAAGTCCAGAGCCCAGTTCACAGGTTTCTTTTAAAGACAAGCGGCGGCTATGTGCCAAGCAGAAAAGCGGCGGCTATGTGCCAAGCAGAAAAGCGGCGGCTATGTGCCAAGCAGAAAAGCGGCGGCTATGTGCCAAGCAGAAAAGCGGCGGCTATGTGCCAAGCAGAAAAGCGGCGGCTATGTGCCAAGCAGAAAAGCGGCGGCTATGTGCCAAGCAGAAAAGCGGCGGCTATGAACTTGGGTCCATCATTTGGGGGGACTTGGGTCCATCATTGGAAGAGCAGAAGTGCTCTTTTTTTTTTCATATATCTTAATCAAATTTAGGCCCCTCCTTGCTCCCCCCCCCCATCCACCCTATCAGATTTCCGGCATTCTTTTTTGTTGTTAATTTTTTATTGAATTTTTGTGTATTTTATACAGAACATCTTTTTTTTTTTTTTTTGGTCTTTTTGAGACAGGGTCTCCCTGTAACTCCAGCTGTCCTGGAACTCACTATGTAGACCAGGCTGGCCTTGAACTCACAGAGATCCGCCTGCCTCTGCCTCCCAAGTGCTGGGATTAAAGGCATGCGCCACCACGCCCAGCTTATACAGAACACCTTAATCATCTTTATACTCCCTTCCCTCACCCATCAGCACCTCCCATAGCCCCCCCACTGGCATTCATATGTTCTGTCATTTGTGTTAAA